CGCGGATTTCGTGCCGCGGAAGTCAATCGCGTTCGCGGTAACACCCGCGAAAAATCGCGACCTATTGAAAAGTTCCGCGATTCTCAGAATCCGACAGGGTAAACGCGGCCGAGAGAAGAAGTCGAAGGTAAAGAGAGGAAATCCAAGAAGCGATTTGTCGGTTCTCAACGAGGTCGCGCTTCGAACTACGAAATCACGTCGTTCTCGCGCGCGCGCGCGCGCTCGCCACTTTTTTCCTTGTTTTCTTCTAATTTAACTCCCTCGAGTCCCTGCCGCCGGCAGATGCCCGAGACTCAATTGAAGAAATCCCTAAAGAGGGACTAGACTGGGGAAGCGGCAGGGGTTGACAATGTAGATTGAGAGCGGTTGGAAACGTGAGTCGCCGACGATAATTAGATCTGCGACAACGTCGCGACTATACTTGTTTTGCGTTGTTACCGCATTATTTGCCACGGTATCGGACGCGAATATTATATTTTTTTTTTATTATATCAGCGTAACATAATTTCGAATTAATAAACTTTTTTTTTTCATTGAGAGACGTAAAAGCGCAAAGAGATGAAAATTTATTAATATTGTCAATATGTTTCGATCTCTTTAAAGAGATAAACTCGACTAGAGTCGAACTGAAATCTGTCAAGCGATAAAGCAAAAGGCTAAGAAGGTTAAGGAAACTCTTAGGCAGCTTTTAAATAAAGAGCGAAGCTCGCGACCCACTTCTCGGTCACCGCAAAATCCCTCCTACTTTTTTTCATCCGTTATTCGCAGATCAATTCACTCTTTTATCAGTCATCGGTCTTTTTATGCCCGCATTTTTTTTTGCACAAATAACAGACATGCTAAAGTTTGACGCCTAACAAAAGATAAAATAGATTTTATATCTCGGTTACGACTGTATTATATATAGGTAGCTTCCGAAAAGAGATTTTAGATCATCGAAATTATTGTCGTTAATCTTCTATTATGCGATAAACCAATCCTGTCAAAAGTAATACGTATAAATTCATTTTCTTGCATTTAAATATTTTCGATAATCTTTTTCTTCCATTTTTTATATCTCTCTCATTTTTATGGACCACGAGATTGGAGACGCTTTCGGAATATAATATAAATTATTACGACAATAGCTTTTAGCCAGCAAAAGGAGATAATAAGCTCGATATAGACAGTTAAAAATCTGAAAAATTTATGAATCGAGAAGAATTACGGCAAATTTGTAGGCACGAGAAAATCGAAATTCCATTGGTTAATTTCGTTAAAAAAAAATCATTGGTTTAGTCTTGCGATAAAGCATTCTCTTTGACTCGTCGTCAAATAAGATCGTCTATATTTGGTTCTATTGAGCAAGAAAAGTTGACCCACATCTCTATTGAGCATGCGGAAAAAATGCAAAAATATTTTTTCCATTGCTCGTTTAAATTAAATTATATATCATCAAATTAATCAACCATTAAAAATTCTAATTATATAGCAAATCTTTGTTTCGGTTATAGACAAAAGATATTTCCAGGAAATTGTGTTGCATGTTAGATAACAGACTGTTACGTAATTTCTGATAACCGTCGTCTTCTGAAAATATCAAATATGTACAAAGCTCTTCAAATCTCGAATAAAATTGCGAGATTGTCATTCTCGTGGAAAAATAAATAATTCTCATATATAGGAAAAACTTCGAAATTGATTAAAAAAAAAAAAAAAAAAATGACGACTTAATTGAAAATTTCAGCAACTTTTGCCGCTAATGTTTTTTAATTTCGTTTAATTTGTTGAGAAGAGAAATACAGCAATGTGTGATGAAGAAAGAGATGAAGCAAAGAAAGACAAATGGAAAGGTTAAAGTCAGGGAGGTCGCTTGCGTGACAAGATACGCAAGTACACGAAGATGTACATCGTGGTAGGATTGAACGATACGGGACAAATGGCATACACCACGAAGAAGGCGCATTATGGCTTTTAAATGAGTCGCTGACTTGCGCGAGGCTTTCTCCCGCCAAGAGTTTTCGCCCGCGCGATGTCTCACTGCGCTCGTAAAAGAAATAACGTTTCCCGACTACTTTGTCTTCCTCCCTTTTTCCGTCGCCTCATTTCTCGTTCGTCCGAGACGGCCGTAAAAAAAGATACATTATGACGAAGCACGGTCTTCGAAGAATCCAAACTTTTGTCAAAACTGTCCACACTGTGCAACTTTTTTCTTTAGAGCTCTACGTATATTTTTCTTATATTAAGATAGTTGCGTCTCTTGCACGAAACTCATTTATTTTTCTTCTTCCACCAATTATTTATAATTTATATGTCTTAATAATATATATGTTTTAATAGATTTAGCTACGGTTAGATAAATTTAATCTCAATAAATATATAGCGTCGTTAATAAATTAACAAATCAACGTCATATCATTATTAATTTTCAACGTCTTGCGTTATGATAAAATATGAAATTAGAAAAAACAGTTATATATTTAATTAAAAAGGAAATGAAGAAATTAATGATTAATATTTACGAAATATTTAATAAGAATTTAAGGTTTGAAATGAGAAAGAGAGCTCGAGAAAAATAATTCTTAAATAGTCTGAAAGAGCGACATTCTTTTTCATCGGGATTCCAAATACGAAAATCCTCAGCTTAGCTCCGACAGATCAAAGTGGACCGTATTTACGATCGAAGAGGAAGAACATGAGCTTATATACGCCAGCCTGGTCTCTTGATCCCAAGACGAAACAAGTAATTCGAGCTGGCTATCTATTTATCGATCCAGCTCTCTCTCCCTCTCATCCTCTCTTTCCGCTTTTTTCCTCCGAGTATCCCCTGGTGAAACATCGCTGCTCGTGTTCATGCTCCCTTTGCCACTAGGATGTTTTGTCATATGCGCGCGCGCTCTCTCGTCTTGGTTTTGCGCTGCCTCTCGGTTGCAAACAGGAATGAAGATTTATCCCATCCGTGTACCGCGGTTGACTTCCGTTTGTCAAACTACCCCCGTTCTCGCGACTTTGCCGCCGCGTCACCCAGGTCGCCGATAATCGATGTCGTACTCGCGCGCACGTTCAAAGTTTCTTCTGTAAATTGACGATGAGAAACGGAGAGCACGCGGCGTCACGAGGTGTTTCGCATGGACGACTTACGTACGTGCGAACGCTCTTATTCTAAACTCGCGGCAAGCCGCAAACGATCCAAATTAATCAAGGCGTTAAATTTGCGCGCGCGACCTCGGAAATTCCTATAATTTTCACCCGAACCGGGTTAAGTAATACAGGGAAATTAATTGCGAACGGTTTTGCGTCAAGTCAAGAATCGATCGATTCGAATCCGCGCGGTGACTCGATGATTCGCCAAAGTAAGACGCGGATAAATGACGGGATTATTTTTCTTCCTCGACGCGAACGTGCTTCTTATTTTTCGCATATATTGTTCGCAAGTAATTCTGAGTGAATAGAGAGCGCGAACGACGAGATATTCTTTTGTTGTTGAGAAGTAATCTGAGGTGGAACGAAAGAATTAAGAGATGAAGAGGCGATATAAACTTGTTATTTTTTTTCTCAAGCACCAACTTCTCTCGACTTACTTTGCTCTTATCGCGCGTCAATGAGAGGAAGGAAGGCGCGGACGATTACCAAGCTGAGAGAGAATAAAGAGATAAGAGTGCGAGGGGTGAAATGACGTCTTTTCCGCGCGCGCTGCTCTCTCTCTCTCTTGAAGACGACTTTAGTAGCTTACCACCACCGACTCTGATAGTGTCTCATTCGAACGTACGGCGGACGGATACCGGTGTTGTTGCCAGATATCGGATTTGGCTTTGTCGGTAGCCACCCGCCCGGCCTTTCCCAGGCCGGGATGAATCGAGTGGGATCGTGTTTCGGAAGTCTCTCTAAATCAAGTATCCGCGTCGCTCGAAACAATTTCTCGAGAAGTGTTGCGGTCTGCGAACCGTAATCGTCTTGCTGAATTTCGTTGCCCAAGTAACACACACGTAGTTACCGTTATTGGGAAATTGTATCGTAGCGCTATACACGAAATCTTGGCGAAGAGGCAAAGACAGGAGGCTTGACCTGTTTCTTTGTATCGTGCAGTTCTCCAATATCGATTATCTAATCTAATGGTTTCCAATTTGATTGTTAATGACTAGTAGTATTATCATTATTATATATGTATATGGAGCTGTATTGCAAATAATTTGTATTTTCTTTTTCTATGTAATATCTCTATCATCGCAGAGTTGATCATTAATTTGCTATAAAATTCATATACCTCGAGAGAAATTGTAATATACAGAAAGCATATTCACGATTCAGTTGTTTTATCAATTTCTGTTTAATTTCACGCTAGAAGATCATCAGTTTACATTTGTGCTCATAGAGAAATGGAAGCTAAATTTTCCCTTTTCGAAATATATGTCAACATATGATGTATCTATATGTATTATTAGAATTGAAACTGTAATCTCGTGAGAGAATAATATATACTCAAAACGTACTATTCCTGCATAATGACGGGTATTATTAGGCTACATATATTATTCTCATAATTTTAATAGTGAGAACCATCGATGCATATTTAATGCATATCTAGATTATTATTACATTTTCTTACATACCTTCCGCTTGTTTTGCGATCTCACGTGACAGATTGAGGTGTGTCAACGGCGTATAAGATAAGCAAGGATTTTGAACAGCAAACAGTGTTGATGTGACGGATCAGTTATCCAATGTTTATTATGGTTCAGCCATGCGAGACGAGGAAATGCGTAAAGAGGGTAGTATATCGTTTTGTCACGGTGGAAATGTGCGATGTCCGTTTAAACCCTCGGATATAGACACGTTATTTTATACACGCAAGATGTGTACAACACCTGCGATCTCTCTCCGCTTCAAGGCGCATATAATTTAAATGCCGATTCACATTGCGATTCATACAATTTAAATACCGAAAACAATACATGAAAACCCATCTTTTTCTCATGCAATCTCTTGTTGGAAAAAAAAGTGATTAAACCAACGTGTACATTTCAGTTATTATTAAACACAATATTATATTTTGATTTTGAAATTCTCGTATACCATATACATTATTATAGGAAAATTTTCGCTCTACTATACTTTACATTTATATATATATGTGCGACGATATATTTTATTATGAAAATACAGACCACATACGCGCGCATAATAATGCTGTGAACAAAAGTAGCTTAACGGTATTGAAATATAAATGAAATGAAAATCCGAGGATTGCGTGGGAGTAATCCATGCACGACATATTAATGTACTGTTTCGCGATGTCGGTGTGCGCGATGTAACGTCCGGTACCGTCTGAATTTAAAGCGCCCTTATACACACAAATACACACAAATAAGTGTAGGTATATCAGATATTCTTACATCATCATGGTCACGGCCTTCTGGTTAGACCAAACGATAAATGGTCGTTAGGGCACCTGCCAACCGCCACTCTCCGATGCTGGTTTTTCGTTGTACGTACATCGTCGACACGGTGATGCACATGAAAACCGTTGAAGCTCGCGTCGCCCTAAGTCGTCGTAAAGTCGCGTCTTCCGGTTTTGGGGTGCGTCGCCGCGACGAAGTTCTACGTATACCTAAAAATAAATCGCAACGGATTAAATAGCTCACATAGGTGCAGGAGCAATAGAAAATAATTTTTCGTGAAAATATCCCTTCGTTCAAAATATACTATTTTAATCGATCTTTCTTTTCGAGAATTTCAATATAAATATATCTACATATGATGTTTAATAAAGCTTATATAATTATACATCCAAGTATATATATATATATATAATAGACCGATAATATTGGACCATGAATTTTGAATAAGGCGATTATTCTTTTGTCATTCGTGATAACGCTATTAATCGCGTTCCTTCAGTCTTCGCAAAATGGGAATTCGAATTATGTTCTTAATCGAATTACATTTCTCGAAACTCATCCCGACGTCATGATCGAAGTTGCATCAATTATGCATCGTATTGTCGACACCCAGACGACGGAAATCATAAATTATCCAATAGATAGGGATGCTGAACGTGAAGGCGAACTTGGTTAACGATACCCTTGATGAACGTTAGCAGAAAATTAACGCGTTATCATCTCGCGTTAGATGTAATCTATAATAGATTCTTTCTTCAAATATTACGTGATTTAAAAGGATCATTAAAAATTTGTTGCTGACATTTAACAATATCCATTCTATTTGATCAAATACATGCTCTTTTATCAGACATCTTGATTCGATATGATTGTCAAATCAGACCAAATCTTGAAAAACGATTGCATCATGAAGAGCGAAACGTTTTTTTACGCAAAGCGTGGAAACCGTGACGGCGCATGTTAATCTCGTGTCAGGTACGTCAGTCAAGGCCGGATATGAAAATGAGATGCTCGAGAAGCTCGAGTCAATGTCACCTGCGGCCCCTACGTTCAGTTGATGACTCGATTTTCGCATCAATATATCTTCTTCATCATTTTCCGCTATTAAGAAATTTCAAAAACTCCTCTCGTCGGCACTTAATATTATTATTATTATTGTTAATAATATTTAATTAAAACTTCATTAGAAGAGAAAATGGAAAATATCTGGATCGACGATCGCGAGGAGACAATCGAGAAGGTGTCTTCGTATTCTTCCTCCCGTATAATCTCATCGCGAACCGGCTCGATTTAATTTCGCAGGTCACGCTCGACCGCGAGCGCGATCTCCGCTTCGGTTTCCCTCTCATTGTGAGTCCCGTGTTGATTCCCCTACTCGCGTCAAGGGCGACCTCCTCGCGCGGTCTACTCTTTATCTTTCCTGAACGTCTATCCCGGCGCGATGCGATGCGTGCGTAGGCCGTGCGACCGGAAGCCTCCGTCACGGCTCGTCGAGCCACCGTTTCGTGGACTTTACCGTGGAAGAAGACGATATACATGCGAGCATGTGAATCGCGTTCGTCTAAGTGGCGTGCCGTCGCGCGGCTAGATCAGAGATGAAAAACTCGGATAAGGAACGCGCGCCTGAAAAATCCTGGGAGAAAATAATTACATTGCTATAGGTATATATACAAACAATTTTTCAAACAAATATTTCATTTCGAGACATTGGAGGTATTATAGTCGCAAAATTAAATTCGTTTGTTCAAGAATTTTGTTCATCGACGGTAACGAATCGTAAATGAAAGAGAAAAAAAAAAATGATGCGAAAGGTAGATCCGCGAATGATCATGAGCGGATGCGATCGTGTATCGTGTGTCGTGTCTCCCATCGTATATGCAAGTGATTATAGCTTCCTCGTCTCATTGTCACGCATCTCGCAACGCGTTGCGATCGTCCTAATTACGCTCTATCGCGTCGGTCCGGTCTCCAGGAACCTCCAGGTTCCTCCAGACTACCCTCTCGTGCACATTAGCGATAGAAACACCGCCTGAGATAATCCGAGACTCTCGATTCGCACGACCATGTATCATGCTTTCTCGGTGTGTTTAGCGCCATAGGTACGTTGATATAGTATGCCGTGTGGACTCATTTTGTTAGATTTGTGTCCTTAATATTACCGCGCTAGCGCCAGTGTGTTTACGAGAAAGCGGGAGAGAGAGATAGAGAGAGATTTATCCAGGAAATGTTTCCCCGCGTCAGAATGTGTACACAACTGTATATTTGCATAATTGTGACGTTAACCGTGTTTATGTAATACGCGTTATTAATGCGCGAATTTGTCTCCTTGATTATAGAAGCGATGCCGAGAGGTATCGGAATACCATCCGCGGATTTAATTCGAAGGAATAAAAGTGGGACACGATCGATAACCCATTAAATTTTAGCGTACCTAATTGCACGACATCGGGTCGGACGTGCCAGCGCGATTCGACCTATATCCGAGAGAGAGATGGTATCGTGATCTTCGGCGAGCGCGCGTTGAGCGCGGCCTTAGAGGTAATTTGCAATCGTGTCGGCGCGCCGGCATATTTCGGATTAACGTCCTAATAACGGATGATATCTCGGCCCAGCGGGATACCGTCCGCGCAAACTTAGACGTACCTACTTGAGGAAGTTTCAGGAGCCGTAAGAGGATACAGCGGCCTTGGCGAACCATCTGGCACGCCGCCGCTTCTACGACGGATATAAACGTATCGCATGGGAATTTGGCACGATGGGAGTGGGTGGCGTATGGATAAACGTACATACGCGTACGCGAGCTATATTTGGCGGGGGCGGGTTTGTGGTGCCGGGGACGTATGTTAGGAACCACAAATTTCGGTCGCTACTTGGGGTTGCTTATTAACTCCGGGACTCTCTCCAATGGCAGTATGCTTAAGGCGAATTTACACACATCGTTTTGCCCGAATTTTCGACGATAGAAGGCGAATCAATCACGTGCGAGCGGATATATTTATAAAAATAATTCTGTAGGATCATTTTTTTTCTTGACAAGACTCAAGACGAAAATACATTTCTTTACTTTTCTCGAATCGTTATTTCGTTAGAGTTAATTTTTTATATAAAATAATTATAAAATAATATAATTAGAAAATATATATTGTGGCAGAAATCAATTTGTTGCGAATAAATTTTTTTCCATAATATACAATCATGTAATAATTAAATGATAATTGCGGAGAGTCGATACAAATATACGTAGTGTGATTTCGCCTTTAGTTGACCACGACATGCACTTTCGTAGTCGGATTCATGGACTTTCGAAATGACGGGACTGCGGTGATATTATGCCGGGTTGTCGACACCATAAAAGCCGTTTTCACGCTCCGCGCGACACCAGGACCGAGCGAGATCGAGCGATATACCTTCAGGATACTGCCACGGTTACGAAATCGATTCCTTCCGTAGTAGTAGGTACGCGAAAGATCGGGTCAGCGGCCGTTTCTCCAGAAGGCCACGTCCCAGCTGGACGAGGAACCTCGAACAATCCCCAAGATATTCTTTCGAAAGAATATCTCCCACATCTTGCTACGTTTTCGACATATATGAAAGCGTTTCTTATGCCGTAAAAATGACCCCGTACAGATATTTCGGCCAAATTCGATCAGATGGAATCATAAACATGGGTAGCATCTTATATCTTTCATATTGGAAAAAGAAAATCTATTTACGCAGAAATTATTTACTTTTATAGTTTCTAAGTGAAAAATAACGCTATGAATTTCGTAATAAACAGCAAGATATATGTGAGAAAAACAAAGCATTAATTAATTTTCTTTCAAGAGCGCTTCTTTCTATAAAAATCTGAAATTTGATGGACCCATTAAATTATGCGAAATTACGATTCGGTGATTTATTTCACCCGGAAGAATGTCACCGCGCAGAAATACAGGGCAAGTCGTTCGTAAGCGCCCGGCAATATGAGAAATTCGTTGAGCGACGTTCGCCATCCAAGCGTCGATCGAAGGATCAATTAACACCCTTTTAATCGAACGAAGCCGTGATGCCGGCAAACGTGGCACAACAAGGGCGCTCGGTCCTTCGCACAATGGTTCCTCCTCTCTATGGCGTCGCGAACCTCTAGAACAATGGATCCCAATATCGTGCTCTCGCCGAGTTGCTCGGTCTTCCTCGCGTCCTCGGTTCCTCCGATCTCTCTCGGTTCGACTCTTCCTTCGTTTAGACAAAACATCCAAGCCTAACCTAGCGTAACTTCGACAAGTAAGGACGATGACGGCGACGACGATGAAGCCGCCAGCTACTCGTTCCAGGCACGTTTCCGATATTGCACTCGCTTTCCCTCAGGTGTGCTGGTGGATTTAAAACTTTCGAAACGACACATTTAGGGACCTCATGTAGCGTGATCCTTTCAATTACGAAAGCGTTTTCCACGCTATTACAGCTCAACTGTTTATTAATCGTTAAGAAGAAAGCGAATAACAGTATTTTCGGTATTATATTCTAAAGTTTGGAAACCCTACATTGTGTGGATTTTAATTAAAAAACTTGTATAATTATTACTACACATGTGTTTGAAGACAAATTATAAATTCATCGATTATACATATATATATATTTAAGAGGTACTGATCAAATTGAGAGGGGGATCTTTTAAAGTGCTTTTCAACTATTGCACTTGCGGATAAGAGTATCGATTGATCGATCGGAACGAAATTTTAAAGTGTCAACGATGCGCCTCTGATCGAATGGACGATCACCGTGTAGGGAGTTCGACGCTCGAGTTTGTAGGAGCAACGCGACACGTCGCGACGCCAATCTGGTATCACGAGTGCTCGTAAAAGTCGACTATTTCGGCCGTTCGATGTCGTATCGAGAAGTCGTTGTCTATGTACTTTTCTCGTCGATATGTCGATCGGCAAGTGGATCGGAAACTCTCGCGCGAGGGAAGACAATCACACAAAATTGTATGACGCAGAACGATTTCTCGGCGAGTATTTCGTTGTATAATATAAAAGGGTCTTGGCCTACATTTTTTATTGTTTGCGTGTCTTCCATAATTATAATATTTCCCCACATAATAACGGTGCAAATGGTCGAGGGACAGGTTTGTCAGTTTGTTTGACAGTTTGAATTATTTATTAGATAGATGGATCGCGGCGTCATTAGTTGTTTGGGAGGAAATACAATATATTACACAATATAAGGG